ATATTATTAAGAACTTCTCATAACTGAATTGATATTTCATAATAAAAGTTATTCCACTATACGTTTTCAATCATCTAAAATATAAGTGTGTTAAAAATAATTATTTGAATAACTGATTATATCTGTTTTCACTTTTTAAAAAGGTTATTAAATATTTCCTATAAACATATATTTTTTTTATTTTAATTTCCAACCAACTAATCTGTCCATCATATTATTTCAAATACATAGCAGTTGGTTACAACAACATTTAAGTGAGTATAAAGTTGACATACTTACACATTAACATATTTTACATAATAATATAATATCACTATTCAACTTCAACATCAACAACAACTCATGATATAATATTTAGACTTTCGCATAACGGTTACACAATACGGAACAATGCTAACAATAGTTAAACATGTCACCGCCTTCATCCACTAAAGTCAAAGCTTTAGAGTCAAAGGATATTTGTAAATAGATGAATGTAAATATTAAGTTTCTTCATTACTCATTTGTATGGATTTATCATAGATATTTTGGATCTCAGATACTAAACAATGTACCTAAATATTATTGACATTATATCATAATTTATGAAAATAATAATACTTATGATGATCGAAGACATTGTTTCCAGTCCCCTAGCCTACTTATTTTAATTTCAAAATTCAAAAATGTATATTTTTTCGATCTACTGTGTGATATGACTATTATTATATATATTACAAAAATGTGTTGCTTACCACCAAAAAACGAATACAATTTTTGGCATTTTCAGGATAAAAGTTAAAAATAAAGATCGAGTATTGAGCGCTAACGGTTTCTTCTCAGGATAGTTTTATTTTGTGATATTGTAAGTGAAAGTAGTATAAGTTTGGTTAGTATAATGAATTGTTGATATATTTATTTTAAATAAATGAATAAGTAGATGGATACAGGGGCGTAGCCAGTAAGTAGACCTTGGCAGGTCCGGGCCTACCCAGATTTTCTCTAGAAAAAAAAAAAAAAAACAATGATATTTAAAATAATATATTCGCAGACATTTATATTATACACGTTTTTACGACAGAATAATTATAACGGTATAATAAATTGGCTGCATCACAAAGGCTACGTCATTAAAATATCATTAGGACTATCGCACGTGTCGATACGTAGAAATAATATTGAAAAATAGGTAATCGATAAAAACGTTGAGTACTAAGTTCTTGTGATAAAGTTTTATAAAGAATTTAATTTCACAGTTATCCACTCATAAACATTTTATATACCTAGTACCTACTTATAATTATTAGTATTATGCGATTCGCAATCCCAAATATTCGTTATACGGGAAGACAACGGAAAAAAAGCTCAAAAAAATAAACACGCCAAGGAACAAAAGCTCGCCGAAAAAAAAACAGAAAAGACTTTAAATATAAATGTAAACACATGTACCTATACTCATACTCCTAATTAGTAATTACCACGTGGCGTGTACGTATAAGTTATAACAAAATATAACATATTATAATGAGAATAATGTCCTAAGTTATTATCATGTGTAGTTTAGTTTTTGTATAAATATAGTAAATAAATACCTAAAATGTTATGCTTATAACCCTGATGTTTTTTGACTTATAACTTAACACTGTAATAACTTTTCCTTATACGATGACTTAAAAATAACAACTACCACTGAACTACCCAAAACAAACTATAAACTTTTCCACCAAAATTTAAGCACGCATAGCAATACTTTAATATCGCACATGTCCACCTTCACCCTTCCAATAAACCCACCACGTAGGCTTAAGCGTAAATGGTGTAGAGTCCTATTAAATTAGTAAAGGAGGTGTTACCATTGGGTTTCTTCTTTAACACGATATTCATGTTACTTTATCCTATGTAAATACATCAAATTTGCTTATTGTAATTATGGTATACAGATTGTCAATTGTCTTTCTTAATAAAAAAAAATTCTGTATATTATGTATTGATGAGTTCAATTTTTTTTACTATTATAAGTTGTTTTTTTATATAGTTAATATTAATAGTTTATAAATTCTTTATATTTTCACATTTTTCATTGAATAAATGAATAAATAGGTAAAAAAAATTTCTTATTAATTGAGTCTCCGCATATAAAATTGCCTATATTGGCTAAAATAATTTATGAAAGTAGAGGTACATGTGTTCCCATTTATATTACATTTTTTTCTGGGCTTTTTTTCTCGGGCTTTTTTCCGTGGACTTTTTTTCCGCGCACCATACCGGATACATTTTATAATAAATAATATGAAAAAGTTTTTAACTCGACTTAATAAATTCAAATCAAAAGATGTCACAGAAAATGTTTCAAGTGTTTTGGATCAGTCAAAAATTGATTTTCCTAATCATTGTATATCCATTACAGTGATTGAATCGGTAAAATCAGATTCAAAACAAACAAATTCAGGTGAGCTTTTTGAATTTAACGCTCGTAATTTAAGTTCAACTTGTGACGAAAGTGTTGTGAAACCTGTCAATAATTTTCATCGTACATATTTATTCCTGGAAAACATCGATGTTCCAAAAAAGTGGACAATTAATGGATAATCCATTGGATTTTATTGACGAGTTGGCTGTCATGATGGAAAGACGATTAGAATTTTTACTTTGAAAATATCTCATAAATTAAGAATATGTATATTAATTAAAATTTATAATTTTAATTTGTAAAACACTAGTCTTTAGGTAAATAACAATTTCATCTTTTGAAACTATCTACTTACTTTTTGGTTCACTTTGTTTTAAGTTATTAATTATTGATAAGAATAATCGTTGATATAACTTTGAAATTATGGAAGGCTGAATTCAGGAATAGTCCCCATTTTCATCTGTGAGTAAAAAGTGTATAGTGGGCCTACCCAAGAAAAAATTCCTAACTACGCCCTTGAATGAATATTTAGGTATTTATGTAATTGCCATTTATTAAGCTTAAAATGATAACATAATGTCCACAATATATATTTTTAATATGATATTAAATATTAGGTAATATTTCCAATATTTAATTTCTTAAAGCAGCAAAGGTAGCTATTTTCACATTTTTTTAGAGTGAAGTAAAAATTAATTACACGAAACCAGAACATTTAATAAAATAAAATTGTATGGATGTATTTAATTGTAAGTTAATTTATTCTACAATTACGTAATTTTATACGAAAAATAATTCAGAGAAAAGGACACAATTAACATTATTTAATAAAAATGTCAAGTCTGCAAAATCTATTTTATTTAAAACTGGCCTTTCTTAGATATTCTTGTTTTTCCATTTATATTTTTGAAATAACTAAACATTTTCCAACATTTAACGCGACCTATCCTCAAGTTTCAACTGTAGATTCAATTTAATTCCAGAATCGAATTGTTGATGTTTGACTTACTACTCTGTAAGTACGTACCAAAAAGTGTCGCCAGACAATAAAAACCAATATATATTTTTCGTTCGTCTCTGAATCTAAAACCTGGTATATAATATGATTTAAAATGGATTATGGACATTATTGTTCATAGACGATACACGTAGTTATAATAATAGACTATTGTAATGGATTTTTTACCCTAGGGTCATTTGCATGAACTTATTAAGTCTTTTTATAATACCCATTTCCAATAGTTTCGTACTTTCGTGTAAAAGATTACACTAATGTACAGGTACACTTTGTTATTGGGGTTTCCTGTCAAAATCAACTACATCTGGTTGAACACATTTATCAACCATTCAGCCTTCAGGTATACGTGACACGTAAGCCGGATGTCGTGTTTTTTTTCCTTTTTAGCTTTTCGTTCTAATAAATATATTAAACCATTTTTCCTCGCACACACCTCGTGTGAAAACACGCGATTTTTCGTGGTATAAAAAAATTCTCGTCACTTTTTATGTATTGTACGATAAATTAAATGATAATCAATTTGAACGTAAACCCATCAAGTTAATCGAAATTGATGTAATCGCATGGCACATCATTATTGTAATCTAAACGATCCAAAAACCATAATGTACAGTTAAAATAAAAATATACACGTGTATACTGTACTTGTTTATTTTTTAGGGAAAAAACACAAACATGTATTATAGCAGGATGTTCGTAAATATTTTGATAACAAAAAAAGGTACCATCGTTCATACATTATTTTCATGACAATATGAAACAGTTTGTTATGTAACACAGGCCGTGTGGTCTACAGTCTGTACCTCTAGTGTACTGTAGTGTCCAACGTTTATAGTATCATAGTATACAGAGTGGTTTTTTTATCACTACAGTTATTTCCTCGGTAAATATGTTTTTTGAATAACATTTTTGTAGCATCATTTTGTAAACAATGTTATACTTTATCGATTTAACTTTTAATCTTTTTTAATCAGAGTTTTAAACAGAGATGCGAGGTATAATACATGAAGTGGGTTGAATGTCATTATAACCTATTATCATTTAGTACTTAAATACCTGGCGGTCGAATGAAGACTACAAAGTGCAAACACATAATCTCACATTAAATCACCGTGTATTGTAGGCCCGGGAATTACAGGGGGACAATGTGTACCTACTTAGCATTTATAATAATAGGTTATTTAAATTGTCTTCAAAATGTGTTATGTATTGTATTTTTTCAGTAACATCAGCTAATATTTATTAAAAAAACATACATAATGGGAGATTCTCTATAAAGTATAGTGAAGCGCTCGTGATTATGTAGATTTTCGAAAATCAATGCATTTTTTCAAGATGTAAATTACACGCAATTTTATTATTGTACAACGCTCATATCATGTCATCCTTAATTCTTAATCCATCTATCCGCTATTGATTTTTAAACCATAAACTGCTAAATATTTTTAATGTCATAGACCAAAGTCCACAACAGATTACTTTCCTAAATCCTGGGTTAGGTTATGCAAACTTCGCTCGTGGCTTGAGCACCCGTAATAATAATAATAATAATAATAATGATAAATATTCTGAAAATGCCTTATTCGGCCTTACCCTGACAATTGGCACGGCAGGCATGGACGCTGTACGTCCGCGATCCGTGATCGTCGTAGATCTCCGGTTGCCGAACGCTGACGACCGTTGTAGACTTCTCCTGGGTGAACTCCCCGACGGCCTGGCGCGAAGAGACCTGTTGGCGCTGATACCGCCACCCTGTCTGGCTGTGGTCGGTGGTCGGATGGACGAGGACGTTGATGACAACCGCGACGGCGATGGTCTTCGGAATTGATGTTCTATGATGCGTTTTTCTTCCAAGACGGCTTCCGGTGGCGGCTCGTCGTCCGGCCGGTAATCGCCCCCATAAAATGGCATCGGTGAAGACGTTGGCCTATTCAAAGACCAACCAAAATGTTACAATTAGTTATTTATTAGCATCGATAAAATTCCTGAATGCGCAACTACAACTCTCATAGACCAAAAATAAATGTGAATAAAATAAATAATTTCAAATCGTGTGGGACTTATTAGATACTTTATACTATTTTATACAAAACACCAAACTTTAAGTCTAAGTGTAAAATAAAACCATTTGGATGAATACTATTAAAAAGCAAGTCATTATAATACAACATCCATGTACTGTTTTCGATGGTTTTTAAAAATATTGGTTTTTCTTAAAACTATGATTTCTAAAAAAAAAATTGGGAATAAAAAAACATATTATAAATCCATAAAATAAAATAAAACGTTTTCTGTCTATTTTAATCAGCATTAATATTTATAATTAATTGGTGGATTTTTGGAGCCAAAGTTCAACCATCTTTGTTGTTTATACTATTTGCAAAAAACTAGTAAAAATTTAGCTAAAAAATGTAATAAATTATTTTTTCAAAATGTTATATATTTATAAGGTATATGCAATTAATTACATTATTGATTAATTTTTTATTACTACCTAGGTGTTTTGTACTCGACTTAGTTATCTACCCATCTATTTAGGTAGTTAATGACCTTACCTTTACATAATCACAATTCATAAGACGTTTTTATTTTTTACAATCAACAAATTGTAATTAACTCTTTTAACATACCATGAAAGTTTATATATTTCAAGAGTTCTACTTGGGTGAAAAACTTTTCATCAAAATTATTTCATCAAAAAAAAAGAATTGTGGGTGGTGTGTGAGAATGTGTTAGAAATTTAAGTGATGTGTGATAGGAATTCAGATTAAACATTCTATCGTGTATCGTAATAAATCCTTGAGTACATGACACGGTCACGTTTTAGCTACATTTTTGAAATATGATCTTCAAAAACCGTGTCTAAAACGTTGTTGATGAACAATAATTTGCGATATTGGGATTACGAACATGCGTGTCATTCAACATTAATAACAACAACATTTTAAAATTTTAATAAATTGTAATTGGTTTACCTTCGCCTTACCTACATTTAATATCGGTGGACATTGTCACTCAAGTTCATTTTGGTTAATTAATAATTTGAAGAAAACCATTGATATTTTGTCCAAGTTGTCTGACAACTTACTAGTAGAACGGTAGATCTCACGGCATTCTCGTGGTTAAAATGTGTAATTTAATAATAGTTACCTGCATCAATGTAAGAGATGTAAGAGAAGTTTGTAAACCAACTAGTTTGTACTTTCATTATGTAGTGTGCATGCAAAATTATTATCTGAGATTACAAAGACGTACCATAACAATTGTGGTTAATTTTGCTAAATATGACGTATATTTATATATTAGGATAATTAAATCAAAATGTTGACATTCAGTGAGCAAGTTTAATTATTTGATACACTTGTGTAGTTATTTAACTTAAATAAATATGTCAACACGAAAAGATGTATGTATGTATTTTCATATTATTTTTATTCATCCGATAATAATAATAACTAATATATACCAGTAACTATCATCTATTAAATTAAATTTTTTTTTTTAACGATAAGCTTTGTCGTCTATGAAATATATATTTATAATGTATGTACATGAATAGGTTTATAATATTATTTTGTTGCTAGTATTTTTTTTTGTACAAAAATATATTATTATTAAAATTCTGAAATCAAATTGTAATATCAGCAAATTAGATCGATTATAAGAAACAAATGGTGATTTACAATATTTATTTTAAAGCTTTAATTTTTAAACCTCACGTTGCTCACTGTATTCAAAATAAAACAATTAAAAAAAAAAAATAATGTTACTAATATGCAACTAATGTATACTTTGTATTAAATCTAACTTATATAATACTGTGAATTGCTATAATAACGTATGAGTAAACCTTTCTTTAATAAATATTATTTTTATGCAAAATAAATGTAATCTTGTTTTCTAAAAATGTTTAAATTAATTGTTTATCAATTAATTATTTTTTCAAGACAAACCTTAAAGAATAATTTAATAATTTATGAACTTGAATATTAACTTAATACTAAACATCAAAAAGTTATGTTAATGATACATTTCAATTTCCAATCGTATGACATGTTTCTCTTTCAGTAAATGATTTAAGTTTTTTTGATAAAACTATATAAATATATAATACAACGATTTAACATTTTTTTTTATCATTTATTAAAATATAACAAATTTAGCAATATTCTATCCCGACAGTCACATATCATTTGAATATTATCCGTATAATTTAAGTCCGTCTCATAATACGACTCCTTTAGTGAAAATCCATTTCAAAATAATATTTGTTCTAATTATTCAATAGATCTAAACTCGGCAACTTTGTAATTGGATATCATTAATAATAAATATAAATTTATCGTACATACTATATACCCTCATTGTATACATCTAAGATTTAATGAGAAATAAGTTAGATATTTATAATGTCAGTATGTCCTTATTTCTTGTCATATACCTACTTTTCTAAAACCTACACATTCACAAAAATTCATATTACATTGTTTCTCATTATGTCCATATTAATACAAAATTTTAATTAATAGATTTAAAGTTATTTAACAAAGCATGGTATGATAATAATTTTACATTTGAGATGTAAAAAATTAACAATAATGGGTACACTTAGCTGCACTTTCCGACCAGGAACTTAATTCAATTTTTATTATTTATTTTATAGATTCTGACCAGGGATATGTATGTATTGATTTCACGATATATTTGTTTTAAATTTACTTGTTTTGTGTGTGAAACACCCTAAAGATCCCTTTTTACAGTATGAGAAACACTCAAATAGACATTATAATTAAAATTCTTATTTTTATGAAAATATGTGTTGTAGACATTATCATTGCATCGGGATACAAATATAATAATAATATTAGTATTTAGCTTTAAAAAGTAATTTATATTCCATCCCAGTATCTAATAAATAAATAATTATTACATAAAGTATTAAAAAATGGCACATTCCAAAACATTTCAACTAGTGACAGGAAATCACTTTAACAAGACCAAGAATTGGACATTCATTCTTATTCCACTCATTTCTTATTAGCAAAGATCCAACCTTCATATACACTAAATGCCTAGTTGAATGTTCTCAACATATCATCCAGGAATGTTAAAATGTCCAAGATATTTCTAGAATATGAAATACCTCTTCGATTTGAAATAACTTCGAAGAAGCTCTCAAAGACTACTGCACAAAAATCCTAGAGATTCTTTACTAAAGTTAATATTGTTAATAACTTTTTAAATGTACTTTAAACTTGAATAAATCTTAATTTTCAATGTTAATCATCATGTATTTTTCATATATACATAGTATTGGTTACAGGTTTAATACAGCTTTTTTTATTTTAAATAATAAGAAAATATAATAAGCTGGAATATAAAAGTGGTTAGACTAAGATTGATTAAGCCGAGGCAAAATTCTACGAAGAGGCTTGTTATGATAATATCAGATGAGCTGGGTGGGAATAGAAAAAACAGATTGGTATCTTATAGTGTAGTAAGGAATTCGAAGCTATTTAGAGGCTAATAGATCGGGTGCATCGATAGTTCCGTTAAGAAGTGAAGTGATGAACGCGAGGTTCACAGCATCGTGAGGTGAATCCAGAGATGGAATATTTAGAGAAGTTGAAGCATTTTTAATAATAAAAAATGAAATTAGTATTTTAGTGAAATGGAACACTCTTACAAAGTAAAATAACATATATTATTATTATATTTAGGAAGTTGATTGATGTAAAACAGCACTTTGTTTTGTACCCCTATAATTATTTTCGGACTAACTTGGCATAATAAAGTTATTCATAATTTTCTGGAGCATACCACAATAAATTCTTAAAGATAGTTTTAATTTAATTAAGATGAATTAATTATTAGTAGCTTGTAATAAATTTAACTTTCAAACATTTACTTGTATTTAGGCTGTGATGAAAATATTATTTTTAAGTAGGTACATATTATTCTTCAAACATAAATTACATTTTGCTTGGAATAAATTTAAAAACAGATTATAAATAAATATAAGCACGCCCTATAAAAACAACAACTTTTGTAGTTTAATGATGGTTAATAATGTGTAATAATATAGTTAACCATTTATTAATATAAATAAATTAGAATAGGTGACAACAATAACTAATAAGAAATGTTTTTCCTGACCAGCATATAATATTACGTACCTATGTTACTTATTTATTCATTATATAAGGATTAGCCATTAGTGTATCGCTTGAAGATAAATTTGTATAATGCTTTGTATATGAATATTATTTATTTCTTGTTTGGAAAAATAAATGTTTATTTTGTACATAAAATCAAATAGGGCCTGACTCTGAGTGATTGATTGATCAACTCAGAGCCTAAACTATGATAGCTATAGACTTTACATTTTCGTGGTATCTACGTACCACTATGTGGGGGTGCACTAAGAAAAGATTTCTCGAAATTCTCATTTTATAGAGGTACTCACACAAGGATTTTCAGCTTCCCGATAGAAATCAGGCAACGGCGACGGGATAGCTAGTAAATATAATATACATATACATTAAATATGGTTGTTGGTTATCCAAAGTTAATAGACTAAAAAAACTACTAGACCATGTTCAATAAAATTTATATTAATAGATTCCTTGAGGCTTGAATGGTGTTTATTCAATATTTCTTCAACCCCTATAGGGAGGTCAAGAAAAAATAATTTATTTTTAGTTTGTGTAAATGGTTGCCAGTGGTTGAATATTTTATTGCTATAATAATTAATTAAAAATATTACATACAAATTTATTCACAAACATTTTTTTTTACAAAATTTTCACTGACAACTCCGAACGGATAGCTAGTTTATTATAAAACGTACCTACTACAGAAGTATATGTTTGAATTTTAATCTTAAACTATTTATAATATATACATGAATGTAAATAGTTAAATATTTTATTTTATTTTGTATTTAAATTTCACTAAAAATATAACGATATTTTATTTGAGTGAAAAAGTTCGTTTATTTAACTTGTACAAATTGAAAAATTATATAATAATTTAACTAGTTCCTAAAAATATAATTTATTATTTCAATTATATTATATTATGATATAATTGAATTTATGATGTTCAAAACTCGGAGCGAAACGATGATTGCATTGGATTTACAATGATGTGTGTTATTATATATTAATTTGCCTGTCAACAGTCATCATTTTTCTGAGCACTAAACGCTTCGACACTTTGAGGGTGGCTTCTGGAAGTCAAAATTAATTATTATCCATACTTCTATTAACTCTAGAGAAAAACTAAAAACAAAATTACGGAAAATGGTAATCTTTATTCAACATTTTTAACAAAATCAATTTTTTTTATTATTTTGCTCTATTTAAAAAACAAATAACTGCAGATTTTTGAAACTTTCAACAAATTTATACATTTGTATTTTTTAAACAGGGAATAACTTTCAAATATTTTAGCACTTTTGAGTTATTAATGCAGTATAGACATATGAAATTTTTGAATTTCTTATATTTTTTATAATAAATGTTGAAAAAAATTCTTTATGTGTCTTATAGTAGTTTGAAGAACTTAGCGTAAATCGACATTAATTTCTCAAGAGTTATGAGCATTTTAAGTAAGGTGTCTAAATCACGAAAATGTGCATAATTTTGTTGTAGTTGAATATTCATTGATGTGTCACTCTGATAAAGCTAGTATGATTTTTACAATATTTATTTGATTTTCATTTCAATAGCTTAAGGAGTCTCCTCTCTGAATTGATTTTCATTTAGGTAGGTACAATAATTCATATCATTGAATTCAAATTCAACACATCCATTATGGTGACCAGCTCAATAAGGTACACCCAAAACCTACTATACAGCATAATGAGTTCTACAATTTTGCATTGTATTATATAGACAAATATTTATGTACCTAGTAAGTGATAAATCATCAAAAGTGTCATTGTTTACATTTTATAAGTCAGTCATTTTATCTACATACATTTATGCATAAAAAATATTTGAAACTTTTTCCCAATAGTTATCTTTAAGATTAACAATATTTTTAACGTTTATTTATAATTTGATTTATTTTGACATTAAAACATCATTAAATTGTATTATAATGCTGACATTAAATTTATGACTAATTTAATGTTTTAATATAAATGTCATATAATGTATGATGAGTATAATAGATAATATAAAGAAATATGTAATATGTATATATATATAATTATATCCAAAAAATGATAAGGAACTTTAATATATATAGGTATTAAATTTCCTTAATACCGAACATAATTTACAACTTGCAAGTATTATACCTTGTTTTAAACTGTTAATGATTTATGTACAAGAAAGTTGTACATTTCTTCACAGTTCTTTTTTAGGTGCTTATTAAAATACAATTTAATTCGAAGACGCTTTAAAAGAATTTTATTTATGCATTTCCATAGAATTTTATATTCGCGTATATTGTGAATGAAATACATTTTTAATTATTTTTATGTGATGAAACAAAAGTTATTTCATTATTTTATAAACAGCAAAATGTAATATTTTTAAATAGTATTTTATTGAAATATTCTAAAATCCAAATAAGGTGTTATTAGGTTTTATAAATCAAATTTATATCAATAATTTGAAAAGTTATTAATCGTAAATGTGTCAGCTTATAAAATTAAATGTTAATTAATAAAAAATATTTTTTATGGGCATCATAGATTATAAAAAGATATTTTGAGAATTGTATTCACTTACAAGGTATTTCATTTAATACGAATTCAATAATAGAGTTTCGACAATATACAAGTACTCCTATTAAAAGTATACTTGTAGGAAAAATGTTCATATCTTATTTTCTTATTTTTTTTTTTATTTTTTTTATTTTTTTTATTTAATTTACTTCATCTCTTATTCTTATTGTTCATGTATAGAAACAGATTGAATAAAAATACTTTAATTACAAAAAAAAAAAAAATCTTATTTTCTTACAATAGGTACATTGATTAAACTCAAAACATAATTTTAACACAGATACCAGAGATTCAGTATCACCAATCATTCTCACCATAGTTAAAGCTGCAAATTTTAAGCCTATATTGTTAATTATCACTCCTGAATCCTAATTGAATTATATCATTGAAATTGCAGAACAGGAGAAACAAATTGATTATAATTGCATTAAGATGGCAAACCATTGTTTTTTTTTTTAAGTATTTACTTAAAATATTTGATTAGTGTGTTCCTACTTGTCCTGCTATAACTATACAAGTGTTCTTTTGTTTGACAAACGATGGTGGAAAGCGGCACAAAATCCTATAACTTGAGTAAATGAGCACTACATATGTGAATAAATTATAAATTTTTCATTTGTTTATTTGTTTTGAGTTTCAAAGTCATTTAATTTAAATAATTTAGGCAAACTTTATTGTTTTGTACATTCAATTAAGAAATGCATTATTACATATTCAAATTATTGAACTTAAACTCTAGTGCTTGCAGAAACATGAATGTGTAAGTTTGGTTCCAATTTTAATTATTTCCTAGAATTTATTTTTAAAATACGATTTAAAATTAAATTATTTAATTGGTAAATGGTTTAAACTTTTTGAGTAGTATTTTCATTTAGAAATCTACCCTTTAAATAATTCATACAAATTCTTCATGCTTGTTTATTTTATTAACCTTAAAAGGTCAGTTCTAAATCATCTTCAACAAATATGGAACATTCAACTGTCAAACACTTAATTTCAAATAAATCATAAAAAACGTTACCAACTTACACTTAGAAACATGGTAAATTAAACAAAGATATATTTTTAAGAACATGGTAAATTAAGTATTCCTGGGACTTAAAAGTTAAAAATGACTTCGGTGAATGTATTTTCAAAGAGATAACTAACTAAAACATTTCTTTGCACAATTGTTGTTAAACATTCATAAAATATTTTATTTTATTGTAAAATATACACGAATAACACATCACGAATTTTAATGTAACTTAAATAAATTAAAAATATTGTGTAATTTATTGTTATTTGTTTTATTTCCTCTAAATAAAAACTTTGATGTAAATGTAAACAACTCCTTAAAAAAATAGTAATTTCTTTCAGGAGATTTATTATACGAGCATTAAACTAGTTTATATCTACTAGCTATTTTATGTTTAAAGAACATACAAATACATCATATACCAGTAACATATTATGTGTGATATTTAAGTGTAAGAATAAAAAATGTATTTAATATTTACAAATATTATGTTCAATAATATTTGTATTGAACTTGAATACAATCTATCCAAAAAAGATTCTCAAAGTAGCAAATTAAGCTATTTAACCATCTGACGAACAAAAGGTTTAAATGTTTGTAAGTATAGGTACCTACACATATTATACAAAATATAACATTTTAAAGCTAATGCATAATTGCGAAAAACTTAACAACCATTATCTATACATCGTTGCTTAAATAACAGACTTAAAGTTTTATGCAACTGGGCATTTTAGTATCTAATATTATCGCACCTACGGTTGAGCTGAAATAATTTTATTAAATTAAATGATAAAAAATAAATAGTATATAACTGTCATATATCAATTGATTTGGTTATTCTATAAGAAATATGTTCAAACAATCATACATATAGTTTCTACAATAATAATTATTTATTATACATAACTCTCAATTTGTAATAATTGTTTTTAAAATAACTCATTGAATTAAACGTTGAACGTTTGAGTTAGGTCAATTTCATGATTGTATTCGTCTCGAAATCTACTGTAAAAAAAACGAATTCAAATAACCTAATTAACCATATGTCCCTATAACAATTGCAATTTCAACCCAAAAAATGTTTTTGAATCGTTATTGTTGCGTGTGACCGAGAGGGTAAAAATAAAAATATTATCACTGCGACAACATTTATTATCATATTATTATAACAACAGCTAGCTGTGCCACTTGCAGTCCGAATTCAATACGACATGACTACACGAGGCGTAGGTACAACAATATTATACACGCATACCTGTAAAATGTCATCATCGATGAGAATGGCAGGAAAAAAACGAAAATACACGCACAAGTAACGCACACTCCGGTACACAACGACACAAACGAATCAAATATAATACGTAAACATATTATTACGTGTATGATTAATCACCGTTTATGAATTATTGGTCACTCGCAACGTGCACGTCCACGAGGTGTGATGGGACGCAAACCGCTCGGCCCGCAGAGCAAAAGGTACTGCTGGCCTCGTGCGCTATCGCGTCAGCTTCTGTTTGGACGCTGTCGACGATAAAGGGGTGCGTGGCGCGCTCGTGTTGAGGTCGTTAGGTGGTGTAGAGGGGAGGGTGAAAATCGTACGACAACAATGCTCACAGGTGCTGGGGGCAGTGGCAGATCCCATTTGGGATTGTTTTCTCGGGGGAAGGAGGGGTTGCGATGGACTAGTAGTTTTGAAGACAGTTGGAGAAGAAAAAATATGTTTGCTTTAATAAAAGATGCAACAAAAAATGTAGCAATTTTTTCTATCTTTAACTCAAGACACTCTTAAATATTGAACTACAGTCCATTATGCCGTCGGTCTTCCAGTTCCATAGACGTAATCATGATATTGATCATTTCACAGAGTGTGATTTCTGCCTCTATACATGGCATGTCAATATTAGAGTCAACCGATTGACCGTAGATAAGATGTGGTAATGAAAGTTGCCGTTGCGATGTAATTAATAACTTCAAACGGAACAGTACGGAACGTTTTCACTATTACTTATTAGTTATTATAATCTTATATACCAAGTAGTGTTAAAGTTCATCATTTAAAAAACTATTTTTAAAATATCGTGTAACTAGTAGTACAAAATGTGACCAATTAGTCAATTCCACCACAAGAACGACAAGTACCTATACAATTGCACGAGTGTGCCAGGTGACATGAAACTGGCGGTGTGTTACTACGAGTGTTCGCTGATTACGATAAGCAAATATTTTATTTTCAATATTTTGTATACAACGGAAATTGCGTGGTGTGCCTCAATCATTGATCGAATTATCGAAAACGTTGGCTACATTGTTATATCACCACATGATTTTGAAATTGTGCAGACAATGTGTTTATCTGCCGATATTATGAATATTATGTTATCGTTTGGCGAATATAATACTGCGGGGTACTATCGGAACTATCGTACAAACGTGTCAAATAGCTTTCGATAATGTCGTAATGGTGTTTTGCAAGTATCATGTATAGTTGCAGTTAGGTCGCCATTAGCGTGAGAGGTAAGGGATTTATGTGGGGAAATGTGCACACCCGGACGTCTCACGACCATTATCTCAGAACGATTATATGACCTAAATGCACCGTTCCAATTCTACTTAACCTAACACAGCATCTACGAATACTGGGGATATGGTGATTAGTTGATTAGTGGGTTTTGTTAAGAAAACGTCGTGTGAAAGCAATATTGATGATACAGCATATTATTATAGACAAATCATATTATTATCTACGTAGTGTGTGTGTGTGTGTGTGTGTGTGTTGAGGGGGTATGCAGGGATGCTGTAGATCCATACTGATTTCCGTGTTTTGGAGCAATTTAAACTGAAAACTATACAATTTGTTATTAAAATTTGAAAACGTACGAGTATAGTGACACTGTGTACGTCCTTAAGCAATATATACATATGCAACGTATACATCGGCAGAGACTTAGAACCCATAAAAGATCTGACGTTGGTAAATTTTATGACCCGGACGATCATTGTTACACAAAAACGATGGATCGAATATTCAACACGTCACTGAAGTGCTGCTCTGCTGAACTCATGAATAAAACGTAGGTATATTCATCAAAACTTTTCACAATTTTTCATAAGAAAATATGTATTCTTGAATATCATGTAGGTACATTAATAAATTTCGTTGAGCATATATATGCTTAAGTGTTCTAAGATTAATGAACATATACGCGTACTGCGTCTTAAAACTTCATGGGTGGTACTTAATTTTGTTCAAAATAATAATAAGTAGATGCTTTTATTTTTACACAACAATTTTACTGGTCCTGTTCCACAAATAAAAAGTAATTGTATACTATTTTTTGTGAACAATAATTTAAGTACAGTTATTTTTTTTAATGTAAAATTGACCGATAAATAATCGCTGTAAAACAAATACAATATTATTATATTATAAAATACAATGAAAAATAGAGTCGATATTTATTTTAAGATTTTTATAGGATTACACTAACCCAGTTAATATGTTGGTATATACGTTTTGCAATATTTTTAAAAGATTAATTGAAATCAATGATATTAAATTTGTTTGACTGTAGTCCATAACTAAAATCTATTAATTAAAAAGATACGTTAAGTACTCTTAAAATTATATTCATTGTTTTTTATAAGTTATTAACATGACACATTGTGTATTGCCTAATTTATATTTGGGTTTGTATCTTTCATGTGTCCTAATTATTAATGAAACATATTATAAAAAATAGTTTGTAGTCATCTTAGAAGTACAATTCAATAACACATTAATATCGGAACTGAAATACTGCAATAAAATTAATCAGTTTGCCTGCGTGCAGTGTTTTATGTTTATTGGATACATTGTTCGTGTACAATTTTAGAACTATGTTTAAAATTTGATAGTGACAACAATTACAAAAACCAGTTTTTATCGAATAATTATTTCGTTATATAGAAACATCAGATTCGTTATTTGGAGATACATTTACGTGTAATTAACAACGAAGGTCATAGTTCTCAAAAATAATTCGTTAAATGGAAGTTTCGCTGTATTTTTAAATCTTAAAAACGCCAACATATTATTATTGTATTGTGTCATACTAATTGTTGGTTCATATTGTCATTAACTGCTTAAAACATAATTATTAATAGATCAAACAATTTTGGGCATTTTAATTATTCTTTTGATAATATTGGTACTATATTAAAATAAATAATTAAATATAAGTTATAATATTTCGAAGAAAATTAAATGTGCATTAGATAATGCAGCATGGTTATGTATCTATTTTGCCTATACGAAGCGCCGTCCCAAATTATTTACAAGAAACAATCGCAATCAACTACAATAATTATTTCAAACATATATTTCAAGAACGTAGTTTCATAAACATAATAATTTAAGTTAAATTCCGAACTTTCCTGTAATTTGAATTATCATAAATTATAAATTATAATCGTTGTTTAAGCCGACGTGCTTGTAAGTAATGATGACTAATGAATTTCATAATACTATAGGAACATGAAAAAAAATTTAAAAAATACATATAACAATAACTTGGAACAACATAAATCATAAATATATACTTATTATGTTGAAATAAAAAATAAAATATAGACTTTAATTATAGTTTAAGTCACCACTTGCAAGGTTATTTAGATTTGAACTTCGGATGGAAAATAAAATTAAAAGTAACTATATTATCGTATTGCTATAGATAATCAATATAAATTTAATTGCAAACCATAAACTTATCTTTAATAATAAAATATGATGGCTAGTATAATAGTAAGAAGTAAATTATTAAATATATATTCATAAGTTCAATATAGATAAAAAATATTTACTCAACATATACATATAATTGAGATTAGATTTATGATTGGAAAAAAATACTCAATTTAAAGTTTTACCTATTTTATTTAATATACAGTGTGTTTCAATATATTTTTTATCGTAATATATACCTAAAGTAATTTGTTTTACCTACTGTACATTTTAAAATCTTAGATAAAAAATATAAATGAACTTTAAATTTTAATAAAAACTCAAATTTTAATTATTTTGACGAATTTTGTCAAAACATTAATTTTAAACGTTTATAAAAAAAACATTGTGAGTATATTATATATATTTTTTAGTATATATACAAGTTATGAAAAACATTTACATTTACAAACTTTTGACCAAGCAACAGTTTTTGTAGAAAAAAATCAAAAAAATGGATTTAAATTCGATACTTAAATTAAATTGTAACCTACAATTTATTAATATTAAACATAAAGGCTGATTTAAAATATAAAATATACAAAAGTGAGTTTAATTTTATAATAATATCATATGTTATTATACATTTTAATGTATGATTGACAATTAGTACAATTTAAAATATTAAATAGAACACAATGGAAAATAATAATAAATGCTGATTATAGACATATTGAAATTTCGAAGGGAACAAGTAAAAGTTAACGAAGGATGTTTGGTATCCGTACCCTTTGGGTCTTTGAGTGAGCCTTGTTTATAATCTTTAAATGTTGGGAAAATTAACTTGCCTAGTTCAATTATTTACAGCGTGTATATGAACCAAAAAAAATATATTAAATACGGCGAATTGTCAGCAATGTTATCGTGGTAACATTATTATTCATTTGAACAAATTGAAATCGGATGAGTAGTTTTGGGTCGTAACAAGAATTCTCATTATATATTAATGAAATATTATATATTTATAGCTATACATGAATATTGATTTTTGATCATTAGTAGGTATGGTTATTTGATTATTCGTATTAGTTACCAGTTCCAATAAATGCATAAAAAAAGTGATTCTCCGAGTATGATCACTAATGTATTTTTCTTGAAAAGGTTATAAATGTATTCATATTGAAATATTTGGAATTTTTAAATATACTTAAAGACCACGTTTTCAAATGATTGAATTTTTATACCATTTAAAGCATGTTGTGTATATTTTGAGTAACTAAAATCTATGAATTAAAGATAATTGTTCTTAATAATGTTTTTACATAAGATATAAAATATATTTATAATACTTATTCTAGCTGGTACTTACATTTAGTTAAGTACTCAAACAATTTTTGGATACTTTAAAATTTAAATGTTAATAGATGATAATCAATTAATAGAATTTTCTAGCCATTATATGGTCTTCCGCTATAATTTTCTAACCATATCTTCCAAACCTATAATTATGCCTATTATGCATTAAGTTAAATAAATGAACAAAAACATCTAGTTAAAATTTTGATCTGACCACATTAAAAAAATCTATGTATTTTTAAATATGGACATATATGGTCGTATTGAATTAACACAATTGCAAAAATCAGAAATTACATTAATTATTATGAAATAAATAATGCTTGGTAAGTAAATTACCCTGTTTGTATAATTTAAGTATAACATACACAGGTTAGACTGGTTAGAGAATGTCTTACTATACACGAGAACAAAAAACTA